ATGCATCAAGTACCAAGTACGAGATAACACAGTGTGGAGCTGGAGGAGCAAAGTAGGCCAGGCAGCAGAAAAGTTGATTTTTCGGGTCAGGACCCTTTCTGAAAAAGTCAACATTCCTGCTTCTCTGCTACCTGGCCTGTTGTGTTCCTCGAGCTCCACATTGTGTTAACTCAACATCCTGGTAAATCTTTTCTGAAGCTCCTCCAGTGCAATAATATCCTTCCCTAACAGGGTGACCAGAATCTGATATAGTGCTTCAGTAAAAGTCTCAAAAGGAGTGAGGAATGAAGCCAGGTGCCACGTGGTCTACAGCTAATGCAAACTTTAAAGAACTCTCCACTTGACCCATTAGTTTTTTCTGTTCTACAACACTCTCCAAGGCCCTACTTGTATCTGTACAAGCCCTGCCGCTCTGTTTTTCAAAAATGCAATGCCTCAGTAACTCCATCTGCCCGTCCTCAAGCCATTGACCCAATTCACCACGATGTCTTTGTAATCTTCGATAACCATCTTCACTGTCCACTATGCCACTAATTTTGGTGACATCTTCAAAATTACTACCCATGCCTTCTAAATTCTCATCTAAATCATTTATATAAATGATAAACAAAAGTGGACCCAACACAAGTTGGAGTGGAACACCACTACTAACAGGTCTCCGGTCCCGAAAGCAACTGCCAAACCGTCTCCGTCTCATGCCATCAAGCCAGTTTTGTATCCAATTTCCAGCCTCAACCCAAGTCCCGTGCAATCTTACCCTATTTTTTCGTCTGCCACGAAGAACATTGTCAAAGACTTTGTGCAGGAGATTACCCTCCTCATTCCCACGCTTCCCCCCTCAAACCCTGGCGAGAAACAAATACTCAGGACGCAGACAGGATTCAGGCAAGTGGAAGATGTTTATACAAGAAGAAACCAGTTAATGCAGGGAGAGGGCCAAAGGATCTTCCACAAATCTGTTCTCGATGTGAGAAAGCATTTTTCCCTTAATCTGCAGCTCAGATCGGAAGAGAGATCAATGACACTTTGATTTTACAAGGAAGTACAGCATTCTTATACACTACGTGTTACAATAATCAAATGCAAAGTAGTCACTGTCCTTCACCTTAATCCAAACACCCAACCCCATGGGACACCGAATCAATCATGGTCATAGGAACAGCCTAGGTTCTCATTATCTCATGGTGTTTACTAGACATTGTCATCACTGGGCCTTGGGGATCTTTCTATGCATCCTATTAATTCACATTCTATAAGTTATTAGCTATACTCCTGGTCTGTCCTAAACTTTATCTCTAAGAGCTGTTTGAATCCAATTATTTGTGGTATTATGTGTGACCCCTTTCTAAAAGGATTGATTAAATTTGATATTTCCCACCATCCTGATATATATACGGCAGTTAGTTTTAAGTAACAGCTACATGATTAGTTCTAATCTTATAACAGTAACTAAAGTGTAAAGTTCTACAGCTACTTTTACCGCGAGCACTTTGTCACTAATGAATTGGATCAATCTATCTTGTTTAGGATGTAAGATAAGGCATGTTCGAAAGCTGATTCACTTTCACATGGGTTTAAATGTGTTTTCCTCAACTGCTTGTATTATATTCTGTTTATATCTTGAAACCTACTTCTGTGATTATCAAAATAATTCTTTAAATAGAACCTTTTTTTTCTTAATACTATAGTTTAAAAAGCTAACTGCTATGAAATACCTTTAGCTGTTGTTCTTTTTTGTAGCTGTTTAGGGAGTTAGTCTAAGCTAAGATTTAGACCCCTGGTGCGATGTCTCTAGTGGAGCAACATCCTTTCATTGATGAGACTGGAGTCATTTGTCCGTTCTTAGGCATCCTCTTATCAAAGACGACTTGATGCTGCTTGGCCTGCTGTGTTCATCTAGCTCTACACCTCGTTGTCTCAGATGATGGGTTGCAGGGCCTTTCTATGACCTTGGGCAGATCTCTTCCAAGGTATTAGTACGTTTCACTTTAAATGTTAGAGCAGACCGCACTATTTTGTTTAGCCCTTGTGTGGCTTTGTTCAAACAGGGGCCACTTTGTTGTATGCAGGTCACCCCTACACTTCACTAAAGTCCAAGTAAACAAAGTCTACCACTCTGCTCTCAATCATCTTGGTTACTACCTCAAAAAATTCAATCAATTTTGAGATATAATTTCCCTCACTCAAAACCATGCTGACTAGCCCTAACCGTTCTTTGAAAACCCCCACCTTCCCCATACATATGAAGCTTATCTTTCGGAATCACCTCCAACAATGTACCCACCACATAATTCAGACTCACAGGCCTATACTTACTAAGCTTCTCCTTACATCCCTTCTTGAAAATAAAGGCACATTAGCCTACCTCCAGTCATGCCGCACCTCATCATAGTTATAGACGATACAAACGTTACTGCAAGGGTTTCTGCAATTTCCTCCTTAACTTCCGACAATATCCTCAATACTGTATATCAGATTCTGGACATTTATTCAACTCTATGCTTTCTAAGACCTCAAACGCTTCCTCTTCTGTAATATGAACTGTTTTCAAAATATCAATATTTATTTCCTAAGTTGTCTAGCTTCTATTTCTCTCCCCCAACAATTTTATTTGTGAAATATTTGTTTTCTATTCCTCCTGTCTTCCGAGTTTCAAAACTCAAATAGGTAGCCTTCGTATTAAGAGCTCGATTCTTTCTCTCTAATCACTTGCTTGCTTTTAATGATCTTGTAGAATCTCTTTGGATTATCCTAAACTTTAACACCAAAGCTATCTTGAATCCCCTCTTTGCTTTCCTGATCTCTTCAGAATGCCCCTATACTCCATAGTGCTCCCTCACTATCACATCAGTAACTAGCCCTGCCGTATTACCGATGAAAAGGTCTTTTTTTTTCCTCCTGTCTCTACACTTATTTGAACCCAGTCGTCTCTACCTATTACGATTTCTTTTGTATTCCTAACGAGAACCTCAATATCTTTATTAATCCATTGTTCCTTTATCCTACCAGCCTTACCTTTTATTCTAAGACGATCATATTAACTCTGAACTTACACATGACACTTGTGAATGCCTTCCACTTATCAGACATCCCCTTACTTGTGAACACTCTACTACCAATGGGTGGCACAGTGGTTAGCACTTCAGAGCGCCAGGGACCCGGGTGCGATTCCAGCCTTGGGCGACTGTCTGTGTGAAGTTTGCACATTCTCCCCATGTCTGCGTGGGTTTCCTCCAGGTGCTCTGGTTTCCTCCCACGCTCCAAAGATGTGCAGGGTAGGTGGATTGGCCAAGCTAAAATTGCCCATTGTGCCCAGGGATATTTAGGTTTGGTGGGTTAGATAGGGGAATGGGTCTGAGTGGGATGCTCTTGGAGGGCGGTGTGGACTTGTTGGGCCAAATTGCTGTTTCCACACTATAGGGATTCTATTATATGACTTTTGAAAGTTCTTGTCTCGTACCATTAATATTTGCCTTACTTCAATTAAACATTTGAACTTTCAAGGAAGTATTATCTTTTTCATAACTAATTTAAAACTGATAGAATTACAATCATAGACCCAAAGTGTTCCTGCACTATCACATCAATCACTCACCCTGCCCGATTACTGAAGAAAACGTTATTTTTTTTTTCCTATCTCTACCAAGAATATTTACATGTTAAAGAAAATTTTCTTGAACACAATTAGCAAGTTCTTCACTATCCAAAACTTTGACACTAGTGTAGTCCCACTCAAACTTTGGAAAATTAAAATCACCTATTACATCATTATTATCCTTACATATGTCTGAGATGTCTCTACATTTCTGTTCGTCAATGTCCATCTGACTATTGTGGGGCCTATTAATACAATCTCATCAAGGTGATCATTCCTTTCCTATTTCCAATTTCAACCCACATATTTTCACTGGACAACTGTTAAGAAATATCTTCAATAGTTACAGCAGTAAGGTGTAAGCTGGAATAAGGGAGGGAGACTTTAAAACTAATGAAAAGACGGTGTCCCTATCAATACACCGATCAGGAAGCACGTTCATGGAATCCAAACACAGCAGAAAGAGACCGTTTGATTGATCGAACCTGAACAAACATTCCGAAGAGCATCTACCAAAGCAGGATTAATGAGCAATGGTTGAATTAGATTATTAAGGTTCGACGTTGAGAATAGAAAAAAAAAATATTAGATATTGAAAATGAGGTTTAACTGAATCTATTGAGCAGTATAAAGAGTAGGTGCATTCTGAAGAGGGAGATCCGGAGGGCAAAGAGGGGATATGAGATAGCGGTAAGAATAATCCGAGGAGATTCGAAAAAAAAAAGTCATTTAAAGCAACACAGTAGCGAGAGAGAGAGAGAGAGAGAGAAGCCTCTTGTGGAATGAGGAAACAAATTGTGTGAACTACAGATTTTGTAATCTGAAAATCAAATCAACTCGTTAAGTACACTTGCATTCTTCGGTGTAAAACCGCCTCCTGGTTTCTACATATTGGCGGGATTTTCAAATTTGTAAGAAAGCGTTTAACGATTTGGCGCCATTTTCCCCGCCCTCCTTCTCAGCCATGGTCACAGTTATCAGAAAAAAGAAACAGCAGATGCTGGAATCTAAGGTAAACAAACAGGAGGCTGAAAGTAGAACTGGAGGAAAAGCCAAGGGAAGCAAAAAGCACAGAGGTTTCGTCGTGTATTTCTAATTTGGATACAGGGATCCCGTACTTCAATTATTTTGTGACTAATTTAAACCTGAATTTATAATTAAAAAACGCTTCTTGAATTTTAATTTAACTCACACAAATGTATCAGTCCTACGCACTTGTGTTTTTTTCAGCCAGATGCAGTTCCTGCAATTACAGCTGAATTAGCCCGGTGCAATAATAAGATATGGCTATATAACAACGAAACGCACATCATGCATCAGTTCGGCTCTTTTTGGAAAGTTTTGTGGTTCTGAAAAGAGCCGTTGGGTTTCTCGGAGTTAACGTGCAGGGCCAGGTACGCTCCGTTTAGGCGCGCTCCCCGCGGATCCGGCGGGCCAGCTGGATGTCTTTGGGCATGATGGTGACTCGCTTGGCGTGGATGGCACACGGGTTGGTGTTCTCAAACAGCCCTAACAGGTAAGCCTCACTGGCCTCCTGCAGGGCCATCACGGCCGAGCTCTGGAAGCGCAGGTCGGTCTTGAAGTCCTGAGCGATCTCCCGCACCAGGCGCTGGAAGGGCAGTTTGCGGATCAGCAGCTCGGTGGATTTCTGGTAGCGGCGGATCTCCCGCAGAGCCACCGTGCCGGGCCTGTAGCGATGAGGCTTCTTCACTCCGCCCGTGGCCGGAGCGCTCTTGCGGGCCGCTTTGGTCGCCAGCTGCTT